TCTCTCTCTCTCTCTCTCTCTCTCTGTCTCTCTCTCTCTTTGAGGCTGCCTGGGGTTGGGGAAGAGTGACACAAGTACCCCTGTGGCCACCACCAATGAGACTGTGCTGGGTCAGACCTGAAGTTACCCAGCCTTGTGCCTCACTGAAGGTTCACAGCAACCACTGCCTGAGTACCACCTGTGTTCGCTCAGGGATCAAGGGCTTTACAATCAGCAGGTGCTGAAACCAGCCAGGCTTTTGACCTTTTATTCAGAAGGGCGAGTTGCCTCCCCTTCCCAGACAGGCTCAGAAATGGTATTTCAGAGCCAGGGTCTGCAGTCAGAAGCCTTAGGAATCTACCTGATACTGTATTCTACTGCGCCTGAGCTGGCACCCAGGATGTAAAACAAAGTTCTTCCCACTCTTCTTTCTTTTTTCCACAAGCAGTGAAGTCTTTTCCTATGGCCACCACAACTGGGAATGTGTTGAAGCCAGCACATCCGTGAGTCTCACCCAAGGCCCATGTTGAGTACTGCCTGGGCATTCCTGCTGACTATTTAGAGCTCTAAAGCTTTTTAGTCAGCAGGTGATAAATCCTGCTAGGACTGGGCTTTTTCCTTTAAGGCAGTGGGTTCCTTTCTGGCCCAGGATATGTCTGTAAGTGTTGTCTGGGAGCTAGGGGCCTCACAGCTCTGGCTGGTATCATGTTCTGCTGTGGCTGAGATGGTATCTAAGTTGCCAAAGTTCTTTTTACTCTTCCAAGTGAGGGATGGAGTCTCAGAACTGTGAGCTGTGCTACCTGGGGTTGGGGGGCGGGTGTGGTGCGAGCACTCCATTTGCCATCTCAGCTTGTGTCTCACTGGGTTGCATGCTCCCCATATCCGCTGGCTTTGAGCCCAGCATAGAATCAGGAATTTCCCAGGAATTGTGGTCCTGTGGCCTAGACTACCTTTCAGGTTTATTTAAGACCCCAGACCCCTTTAGCTTATGGTGATGGAGCTTGCCTTTGTCTGAATTCAGGTTCATAGTGCTGGGATGGGCAAGTCCCTTCTGTATAGGGCTGGTCTAAATGCTCCCTCCATGAGGGGTGGCTGAGTTCTGCCTGGTGTTGCTTTCCACTGTGACAGGTTATCACTGAGTTTCAATGAAAAGTCTCACAATTACTATACTCTCCCTTCCGTAAGATCACAGATTCTCTTCCTGTACCCTGTGGCTGCTGCTTACAGATGAAGGAGATGGCATTGAGAATTTAAGACTGTCTTTTCTACCCTCTTCAGTGCCTCTTTTTTATGTGTAAAGTTAAAACGAGGTACTGTGATTGCTCATTTGATTATTGGTTCTTATGACAGTGATTCTTTTGTGTGGAGGTGTTTCTATGAGGAGGATGATTAATGGAGGCTTCTCTTCCACTATCTTATACTTCCTCTTTTGATGGTGTTATATATCCTTGGGTTTTCATGATTGTTCTTACCTTCTGTTGATGTCTGTGCATGTAAGAAGTAGGGACTTACTCCAGTGTGTTTAGATTGTCTTTGTCTGGAAAACATCTTCACCAGTCAGCCCATGTGGTGATTCTGGGCCAAGCTGTTTGGCATGGTTGCTAGGTGGGCTTGTTACTGGAATTCTTGGGCAGACTGAACTGGTAACTGGGTCAGCAGGTTATGTTCCCCTGGCCCCTGGGTTCATTAGGTTGAGCTTTGATCCTGGAACCTCTGTGTGGACCAATTAATTTGGTCTGTAGGCTTTGTCCTCAAACCTGTTACTGTGGGAACTGGCCTTAAGCTTGGGTCCACAGAAGCTGACCTGGCATTGAAGTTGATCTTGAGCTTGTGTCAGGAGGGGCTGGCTAGGTGTTGGGATAGGGTTGGTGCACAGGTGCATTGTGATGGACCTTGAGTCCATGGGACTTGACCTGGTGCTTGGTTGGTCCTGGAGCCCAAGCCTTTTAGCGTGGAACTTGTTCTTGTGTCTGCAAGAGCAAATTTGGAGATTCTTTCCATGTGATTTGGCTTGGCACTGGGTTCTGCTGTCACAGTATTGGTCTGTGGGTCTGCTGGAGTGTGGCTTTGCAGGGCCTGGCCTGGAGGTGGGGCCTCAGGGACCAGCATGGCATTGAGTATGCCTAGATTCTGTTTTTGCATGTTCTGACCTCTTATCTTAAACCAGGATGCTAACCTGTTGCTGTTTTGGGCCAATGCTTGCAGTAGTATGGGCCTCTGTTGTACTGAACTGGTCTGAAACCTGAAGGAATCCTGGAGGCTAGGGCTGCAGGGGCTGGTTTTGTGTTGAATGGGCCTGGACATTGTATCTGTAGGTGCCATCCTGGAGGCTGGGTCTTTTTGTGCTGGCTTGATGACTAGGGCTTTAGGCACTTGTCCTGTGCTGGGACGTGCCTTGTAATGTGGGGCCATGCCTTGTAATGTGGGGCCATGTGAGCCAATACAGTAATGGGAGTATTCAGGAGCCCAGTACTGCTGGGGCTGTCCTGGTCTGTAGGATGCCTGGAGATTGCATGTAGACCATGTCCACTGGGCAGGCCTGGAACCTAGAGCTGTGGGATCTCACCTGATGCCAGGGCTTGGAGGCTTGGGCTACAGGGGCTGGTTTGGTGCTAGGTGGGGCTAGAGCCTATATCTACAGAGGCTGGTGTGGAGGCTGTTTTTGAGGGTGCTAGCCTGATGATTGAGCTGCAGGGGCTGGCCTGATGCTGGGGTATGCCTGGTTCCTGGGGTCATGGGGGCCGGCCTGGCACTGAGGGTATTATAGAAGCCTGGGGTTATCCTGGAGATTGGGCAGGCCCAAAGACCAAGTCTGGTGGTCAGGTGTGGAGCCTGGGGATGTGGCATTTGTTGAGGCCTTGGAGTGGGCCTGGAGGCTCAGTCTGTATGTACAATCCTGATGTCTGTGACTGTGGGGGTCTGCTTAGGACTGCATTTTATTGGTGAAACAGTAAACAATTGCCTGGTATTAGAGTTCAAGGCAGAGTTGAGTGTTCTGTTCTCTCTTTTTTCCCCTAGCAATGAGTATCTCTCTTTATGCTATGCTTTCTGAGGTTGGGGAAGGATGAGCAGGAAATGTAAAACTATCTTTACCCTGTTCAGTGTACCTTTTACTTTTTTTGCCACACTCAGTTGCTATAATCTCCCACCTGGTTTCCTCAGGTTTTGTGAAGGTGTTTTCGCATGTGGAAAGTTGTTCAAATTGATGTTTCTGTTGAGGGACAAATGTTGGAAAGTCCTATTCCCTTAACTTGCTTATGTCAGTCTCCACTGATTTTTTTAAATAAAACCAGCATTTGGTTTCATTGATTTCTGTTCTAATTGCTTTTATTTATTTTCTGTTTTCTTTGGGTTTAACTTTCTATTTTCTTAAGTTTTTGAGACACATTTTATTTTTAATATAAGCATTTATTTCTTTGTCTAGGTCTCTCTTTCCATATGGTACTTCCAAGGAGTATCATACTCTTTCTGTTTCAAGAACTTCCTTTAAGTTCCTTTCAGTGATGGTCTACTGCCAATGAATTTCTTCAATATGTATTCATCTAAAAAATTTTTTATTTTTTAAACTTTATTTATTTTTATAATTTTTATTTTCTGAAGCCCAGTTTTACTGTGCATGAGATGCTGGGTTGACTTTTTTGTTTTGTTTTGTTTTTCCTCTTTCAGTACTTTTAGATATCACACCAAAGCTTTTCAGCTTGCATGGTTTCTCAAGTGTAATCTTCTGTAATTCTTACCATTGGGTCTCACTACACAATGTGTATTTTCTTTGGCCACTTTCAAAGTTTTTTCTTTATCTTTGGTTTTTAGCAGTTTCACTATGAAGGCAAAATAGGGTCATATCTTTGTATTTGGTATTTGATTTGACATTTGTACTTCAAGGGATTCTCTGAGGTTCTTGTGTTTAATTTGGTGTCTTTCATTAGTTTTGGAAAATTGTTGGTCATTATCCCTTCAAATATTTCCTCCATTTCTATTATTTTTCTGTGAACGATTATACATATAGTAGGTTGGGTTAACTCTGGGGGATGCACTTTTGTTTATATTCACCACTTATTTTTATTCTTTTTATTTAGTTTGGATAATTTTTATTGACTAATTTTTAAGGTTATTGATATTTTCCTCAGCTCTTTCAAGTCTACTCAGGAGCCCCCAAAATGAAGGAATTCTTCATTTTTAATAGCATGTTTTTCATTCTAGAATTTTCTTCCATTTAACTAGAGCATCTATCTAGTGTTTTTTTTTTTTTCTCTCTTTGGATTCTTCAGATCACTCTGATTGAGACTTTGTCTCAATGATTTGAAGTTCATAGGCCTTGGCTTCACTGTGTAAGTCAAATTAGCTTTCTATATTTCTGAAGTTAAATGGTAAAAAATTAATATTGAAACTATTTTAGTGCATATGATTGAAAATATACAGCAATTGGTAGATAGAAATTTAGAATTATAATTTCAAGAAATATTTCCATAAACATGTATTATATTGACTGGTTATTTAATATGTGTATTAGAAGGTGGAGGCCAGGCATGGTGGCTCATGCCTGTAATCTCAGCACTTGGGAGGGTGAAGCAGGCGAATCCCTTGAGGTCAGGAGTTTGAGACCAGCCTGGCCAACATGGCAAAACTCTGTCTCTATTAAAAATATAAAAATTAGCTGGCACAGTGGTGTGTACCTGTAGTGCCAGCTATTTGGGAGGCTGAGGTGGGAGAATCGCTTGAACTTGGGAGGCAGACAATGCAGTAGGCCAAGATTGTGCCGCTGTTGCACTTCAGCCTGGGCAACAGAGGAGTGAGACTTCATCTCAAAAAAAAGAACAAAAAACAAAACTCGAAACTAGTTGCAACACTTTTACAAATAATGTGCCATGAAAGGTGTTATTTTATCATCAGAAAATTAAAATTTCATTCTTTTTATTATCTGGTATACTCTTTGGTTATAAAACTGTGTCTATAAATTGTGATGATTTTTTCTTTAGAGACCATTAGTAAACCAATATTTTTCTTATCTGTTTTCTCTGCAGAAAACTGCATCAGCAGTTTGAAATGTATAAGGAGCAGGTAAAGAAGATGGGAGAAGAATCACAGCAACAGCAAGAACAGAAGGGTGATGCCCCAACCTGTGGAATCTGCCACAAAACAAAATTTGCTGATGGATGTGGCCATAACTGTTCATATTGCCAAACAAAGTTCTGTGCTCGTTGTGGAGGCCGAGTGTCATTACGCTCAAACAAGGTACAGAAATGAAAATTACAATTCTCTTTTACTTAAGCTTATTGTGAATAAAGATGACTGAAATTGATATTCAGAATAACCAAAGAATAAAACTATATTATCTTCATTTTAGATAAAATTGTGGTTTTAAATTTTGTCATGGCATTATAAAGGTCTTATTGTTTCATGCCAGTTAGCTTGCGATTTTGTTTTGAATAATAGCATCTTAGACTTTCAAAGATGAAGATAATTTTGGAATCAACCAGCCTCACTCCTTTATTTTATAGATACAGAAAATTCAGATCAGAAAAACTAAAGTTTGTTCTTAAAGCCACACAACTGATTAATATCAAAGTTTTGATACAGCTTTCTTCATACTTCACATACTTCTACAAACTTCATAGATCTCTTTTTTGGCTTATTTACTTTTCTTTTGCAAGAGGCCCTTTCTAGCTTTACGTTTCTGTTTCATAATTGTATAGCTGTATTCCTCTGCTTCACAATTGAAGCTACATTCCTTTGTTCTTGTTTTAACTTATGTAATGTAATAAACTAAACATTAGATGACAGAATTTAAAGAAGAAATATTAAGGAATTATTTTGTACTTACACTGGGTTTTTATAGTTTATCTATTCATGTTACAGAGTATGTTAATTTAACCCAAAGAATGCTTCGTTGTAATTAGCAAAAACAATATATAAAAATGTTTGTGGCCGGGTGCGGTGGCTCATGCCTGTAATCCCAGCACTTTGGGAGGCCGAGGCGGGTGGATCACGAAGTCAACAGATCGAGACCGTCCTGGTCAACATGGTGAAACCCCGTCTCTACTAAAAATACGAAAAATTAGCTGGGCATGGTGGCACGTGCCTGTAATCCCAGCTACTCAGGAGGCTGAGGCAGGAGAATTGCCTGAACCCAGGAGGCGGACGTTGCGGTGAGCCGAGATCGCGCCATTGCACTCCAGCCTGGGTAACAAGAGCGAAACTCCATCTCAAAAAAAGAAAAAAAAAATGTTTGTGACCAGGCGTGGTGGCTTACACCTGTAATCTTATAACTTTGGGAGGCTAAGGCAGGCAGATCACTTTAGCCCAGGAATTCTAGCCCAGCCTGGGCAACATGGTGAAACCCTTTCTTTATATGTATATATATTAAAAAAAGCCACAAAAATTAGCCAGGCATGGTGGTGAGCCCCTATAGTCCTAGCTTCTCAGGAGGGAGAGGTGGGAGGATGACCTTAGCCAGAGAGGTCAAGGCTGCAGTGAGCCATAATTGTGCCACTGCACGCCACTCTGAGTGACAGAGAGAAACTCTGTCTCAAAAAAGAAAAAGAAAAAAACTTTGGGTCCATCTCCATAGCTCACTCCTGTAATTCCCTCACTTTGGGAGCCAAGGAGGATGTATCATGAGGTCAGGAGTTTGAGACCAGCCTGGCCAATATGGTGAAACCCTGTCTCTACTAAAAAATACAAAAATTAGCCAGCGTGGTGGCATGTGCCTGTAGTTCCAGCTACTCAGGAGGCTGAAGCAGGAGAATCTCTTGGACCCAGGAGGCAGAGGTTGCAGTGAGCTGAGATCGTGCCACTGTACTCCAGCCTGTGCGGCAGAGTGAGACTCCATCTCAAACAAAATGTTTGTGTCAGTAAATTGTTTAGAGTTTGCATTTATCTACTTTCTTCACTGTTGGTAAGAATGTAAATTAGTAGAGCAGCTATGGAGAAGAGTATGGAGATTCCTCAAAAAACAAAACAAAACAAAACAAAACAAAACAAACCTAAGAATCTCAAAATAGAACCACCATATGATCTAGTAATTCCATTACCAGATATAGTACCAGAAAGAAAGGAAATGAACATACCAAAGAGATACCTGTACTCCCGTTTGTTGCAGCATATTAATAATAGGCAAGATATGGAATCACCCTAAGTGACCATCAACAGATGAAATGATTTTAAAATGTTGTGTATATACACAATGGAATATTATTCAACCCTAAAAAAGAATAAATATCTGTCATTTGCAGCCACATGGATGGAAATGGAGGTCATTAGGTTAAGTGAAATAAGCCAGGCATGGAAAGACAAATACCACGTTTTCACTCATATGTGGGAGCAAAAAAAAGAAAAGAAAAAAGAAAAAAAATGATCTCATGCAGGTAGTAAACAGAATGGTAATTACTGGAGGCTGGGAAGGGTAGGAGGAAAAGGGAATAAAGGGGTTGGTTAATGGGTACAAAAATATAGTTAGATAGAAAAAACAAGTTCAGTGCTCAGTTACAGCAAGGAGACTGTGGTTAACAATAATTCACTGTATATTTCAAAATAGCTGGGAGAAAAGATTTGGAATGTTCCCAACACAAAGAAATGGTCAATGTTTGCTGTGACAGATATCTCAATTATCCAGATTTAATCACTACATATTGTATGACCGTTAGCATTATCACATATATGACATTAATATGTACAACTATTAAATATTATGTATCCATAATTTTTTAAAATTTAAACATACCGAAAGATAAAAACTGTCAATCAGGAATTCCACAAGGAGCAAAAATATCTTTTTAAAAAATGAACACAAATTTTTAGCATGAAAAAATTGAAAGCATTCATCACCAGCAGACTTGCCCTTAAAGAAGTACTGAAGGAAATACTTAAGACGGACAAAATATAATACCAAATATGATTATAGATCTACAAAAAGAAATAAATACTGCCAGAAATAACTATGAGAATATAGATCTTTTCATAAATTATTTAATATTTGAAATTCTTTGGATATATACCCAGTAATGGGATTGCTGGGTCAAATGGGATTTCTATTTTTAGGTCATTGAGGAATCGCCACACTGTCTTCCACAATGGTTGAATTAATTTACATTCCCACCAACAGTGTAAAAGTGTTCCTATTTCTCCACATCCTCTCCAGCATCTGTTGTCTCCAGATTTTTTAATGATCGCCATTCTAACTGGTGTGAGATGGTATCTCAATGTGGTTTTGATTTGCATTTCTCTAATGACCAGTGATAATGAGCATTTTTTCATGTTTGTTGGCCTCCTGTATGTCTTCTTTTGTAAAGTATCTGTTCATATCCTTCACCCATTTTTGAATGGGCTTGTTTGTTTTTTTCTTGTAGATCTGTTTTAGTTCTTTGTAAATTCTGGATATCAGCCCCTTGTCAAATGGGTAGACTGCAAAAATTTTTTCCCATTCTGTTGGTGGCTGATTCACTCTACTGACTGTTTCTTTTGCCGTGCAGAAGCTGTGGAGTTTGATTAGGTCCCATTTGTCTATTTTGGCTTTTGTTGCCATTGCTTTAGGCGTTTTGGTCATGAAGTCCTTGCCTACGCCTATGTCCTGAATGGTTTTGCCTAGATTTTCTTCTAGGGTTTTTATGGTGTTAGGTCTGATGTTTAAGTCTTTAATCCATCTGGAGTTAATTTTGGTGTAAGGTGTCAGGAAGGGGTCCTGTTTCTGCTTTCTGCACATGCACGCGAATGTTCATTGCAGCACTGTTTACAATAGCAAAGACCTGGAACCAACCCAAATGCCCAACAATGATGGACTGGATAGGGAAAATGTGGTACCTATACACCATGGAATATTATGCAGCCATCAAAAACGATGAGTTCACGTCCTTTGTAGGGACATGGATGAACCTGGAAACCATCATTCTCAGCAAACTGACACAAGAGCAGAAAAATCAAACACCACATGTTCTCATTCATAGGCGGGTGTTGAACAATGAGAACACGTGGACACAGGGAGGGGAGCACTACACACTGGGATCCGTTGGGGGGAAATGGGGGCGGAATGGGGGGGTGGGGAGGTGGGAAGAGATAGCATGGGGAGAAATGACAGATAAAGGTGAGGGGACGGAAGGCAGGAAACCACACTGCCATGTGTGTACCTATGCAACAATCTTGCTTGTTCTTCACATGTACCCCAAAACCTAAAATGCAATTAAAAAAAAAATTCTTTGAAGATAAATGTTTTATACAAAAAGAATAATAATGTATTGTGGGGTTTATAAAATGAAGAAAAGTAAAATATGACACCTGAAACATAGAATCCAAAGAGGAGAAATAGAAGTACATTATTGTAAGTTTCTTATCAGTTGAAAGTTGACAACAATAATTTAAATATATATTCTACAAATCTTGAATAACTTAATAAAATAACAAAACAGTTGCAGCTATTGAGCCAACAAAGGAGAAAATGTGAATCATAAAATACTTGAGTAATCTCAAAAAAAAAGGCTAAGAAAGAAAAAACAAAGAACAGATAAGACAAAATCAAAAAGCAAGATGATGCAATCAAATGAAGCCATATCAATAATCACAGTAAATGTAAATTTTCTAAACATGCAATTAAAAGGAAGAGATTGTCAAGTTGGATATACAGCAAGATCCAACTCTATGCTGGCTATAAGAAAAGTACTTCAAATATAAGACACAAATAAATTTTAGGTAAAAGAATAGAAGAAGATATGTTAATGCCTAACTCAATAGAATGGGAATCACATATATGTGTGTGTGTGTGTGTGTATATATATATTCAAATATGTATATTTATTTATTTATGTATGTTCAAATATATATATATTTTTAAATATATATTTACATATATTCAATATATAAAAATAATTATATATATTTATGTATATAATATTTATTATATACATAATAAATATATACATAATAAATATATATGTATTATATATTATATGTAATAAATATATGTATATATATATACACATATACACAGAGACAGTGAGAGAGAGAGAGCACTTGGTCTATATATTTATTAGACCAAGGGAATTTCAGAGAAAAAATATTACCACCTGGTCTCTATGTTTATTAGACCAAGTGAATTTCAGAGCCACAAATATTGCCAAAAATAAAGATTATCACTTAATAATGATAAAAGCATCTGTTAAATTAGAAGGTATAACAATGTTAATATTTATGTCCTTAAAAACAGAGCCTAAAAATACATAAAACTAAAACTAATAGAATTGCAA